AGCTCCGGCACCGGCGATGCTGCTGAGATGGCTCATGGCTGGGGCCGGGGAAAACCCGGCATCTTTGAACTGAGCCGGGCTGTGCTGAGAATGGGGACTGTTGGGGGAAAGTGTTTGAAGGCAGATTTTAATATTAATAGTTTTGGTGGAGAGAAAGAGGCAGACAGGAGGGAGGTTGCTCCTCTGGGCAGAGTCTCTGCGACAGTGATGATGGATGACCCGGCACAGCTAAACAACTCCTCCCCGCATCCCCACGCTGTGTCACAGCTACTTTGCTCGCAGCTTTAGGAATGAAATAAATAAACACCCTCGCCCCTTCCCGCATCGATTTATGGATCATTATGAATCAATTACTGCTCGCGAGATTTGCTTAAATCAAGCAGGCCGGGCTGGAGAAGAGGCATGGCTCCGTGCTCCAGGCAGGCGCCCGGCAAAAGTCCTGCAGCCTCCCTGGGAGGGGGCTCCCGGGCCAGGCTCTGCCCCAAGGGCTGGGCCCGCCGGGCTGTTTGCTGGCTCGGGGGCGCTGCAAAACTTAACAGACACCGACTCGCGAAGCCCCGGGGCTGACATGCCCCGCAAGGCTTGGAGGCAGGGCCGTGCCGGGCCCCCTGCTCCGGGCTCGGATCCCCAGCGTCCCTCCAGGGCTGCGGGGACCCGGCCGCACACGGGGTGGAGGGGCGGGCTGCACACGGGGGCTGCACGCCGCTCGGAGGGAGATTGCGGTGGGGAGGGAAGTGTGTGAAGTTGGGCTTCTCTCCCTGGGTGCATTTTCCCATTTGCAGCAGTGTTTGAGGATCTCAAGGTGTTTCTATGGCTACCTTGTGTATGTGGGAGGGTCAGATGTGGGGGTGCCCGAGAGAAAAGGCAGCTCTTGGGTGATCATTTATCAATGTCACCCACATAATGATTCTCTCTGCAGCCTTCTATTGATGAGGATAATTACATTAGCTCAGAGTGACTGATCAATGAAAAACCACCAAACAAAAACTTCTTTGCTCTTCTATAATACCAAAAACAGATACAGAAATAGGATAGAAAGCGAGGGTGGGATTTTTCCATCCTTCCTTTCTCTCTCCCAATGGATTTTTTTTTCTTTTTTAGCAAACAAGGGGAAGTAAGAAAAATATTATTAGATCAATTACGTGGAAAGAAAAGGAAACGGCGATTTTCGCCTGTGAAAATGTCTCCTGCTGAAATCTGACATTAGTTTGGACGAGGTCGGCTGTT